ACATTTACAAAATATAACAAAAAGAGCAATAACAAAATGAGTAAATGATACTAACATAACATTATGGATGCTCGAAAAGGAGTGGGAAGAAATAAACACTTATTCAATCCCAGCCTCTGTGATTATTTATGATTTATGTCTCTATCTCGTTTGTTCAGCACTTTGAGTTGCCTTGTATATGAATTGTGCCATACAAATACTTTTTTTTGGCCTTTGTGTCTGTGTGTATGTGTGACTGTGTGAGTGTATCTGTATGTTTGTGTGTGTGTGTTTGCAGGTTTTGTGTGTCTCATACAGTATGGCAGGGTTTTGCATATTACAGTAAGTACAAACCTGTATAAGTGTGAAAATATGTAACATTTGAAATGAATCTAACTTTGTGTAAATCCAGCTGAATCTTCTCCCTGAGTCCTTTCCCAGCCCTGCCGCTCTCCTTCAAGGGCGCTCGGAACATTGGATTAAAGCTTGGCTGGCTCTGATAGAATGCGGAGGGAAATTGGATTGAGGCTGGATGTCGTGCGGCCGACAGACGCGGGAGAAAAGGGTCAACCATTTGTCTTCGTTTCATAATCGCGGCACAAAACCTGTCAGCGGGAACCAGGGCAGAGAGAGCGCGTTTGTCTCTATCACATTCTGGACCTTCATCTACCACAAAACACCATTAAGAATTAATCAAGAGTTTCTCATTTTCTTTCCGGTCTTCCTCCATCGGCTTGGCTCTGCTCTACTCTGCCTGCTTGTGTTTTCATTATGATTTAGTTTTGTATCCTCCTCACAACTAACTAGTATCCTGAGAACTTCCTTAGCATTCAGGGCAATCTGTAAGTTAGAACACTTTAGTACCAGCTTGACCTGGGTAGAACCAGGTCCATGATGGACTAAAGAAGGTCCTGGTACCAGTTAAACAGAACAGGTGGAAACTCATCCAATCAGAGTTGAGTATGTTATTTCTTTCTATCCATTTGGAGTTACTAACATGTGACCGAGGGAGCAGTTTATTATATTAGTTGGAGATGCCTGCTTTAAATGCTTTTAACTAATTAGTGATGCATTATAGTATATTATCAAAGTATGATCTACTTCAGTTAAAATGTGTCTTTGATAAACACAAATTATAGAAAAAAAGAGAAAACCTGAACCTATTTTCTGTCTTTGTGTGTGTGTATGCAATATCGGAAGTATTCATAAAATCCTTATTTTATGAAATATAGATTATGTTTTAGATTTCCGTCCTTGCTTGGATTGAATCAAAGGTGGACTAGAGCTAAGGAAGACTTAAGTATTGTGGCCAAATGAAGGCTTTTGATGAAGTATTATGATGTCAACAAAATAAAATGCAAAACTTCATTAGGTAGTGAAAAGAACCCCAAGGGCCACATGGGTCTGGCTTGGATTAACCAATCTAAGGAGCTTTCACATTGTATCTCTGGTTTTTCCCGACCGTTTAAACTTCGACATGTGGCAAGAGACTGAATTTGAACCATTTCCTTCTGATTGGACACAGACCACTCACACGACCACTTTATATGATTTTATTTCACAAGAGAGTTTCAAAAAGATTAATAAAAGCCGATACGTGAGCATATGCTGCCAGTGGTCACACACAGTGCATGGTAAATAAATAAAACATGGTAAAAGCAGAGTACAGAAAGCATAAAGTACCGTGATAATAATGTGTGGTTATTGCACTCTCACACTTTAATACAGTTAGTTCAGCTGCGTTCACAGTTTATGTCAAGAATATGGGCTTTCCGTTATGTAAAAACACTAATACTGAATCAGAATGGATTGAATCCCTGGACAATAGCTGGAGGGTTTCACCTACTGTACTTGTTTTTAGTGGGAAAGGAAGCCGGAGCACAGAGAGAACATGCAAACTTCCCTCAGAAATTTGAACCCAGGACCTTTTTACTGAGGAATGAGCCGCCCCAGTCATAGCTTCAACGTCATTTCAATACTGATATCATTTGGCAACAGCAGACGGCTTTCTACTTTACTTATAATTTTGGCAAGAATACGAATATTTATGCATTTTACCGTCCCCTGAGAAAGCAGCTAATGCTAACGCTAAGAGACAGAGCAGAGTTGTTTTAGTGCATGTCCTCAAATCAAATCACTACTCTTTGGGCTGAGAGAAAGCGGTCCCCTGCACTTCACTTTTAAGTCTGAAAAAGCTGATCTAAAGATGTGAGAGGTCAAAACTTGTGCATGTGAAAACAAGTGGTAGATGCAAACTGGTATTTTTTTTGTTTGATGTTAAGTACCTCAGCCTTAAGTCCTTATCTCAGTGAGGAAAAGCTGTTAATTCAATGCACAGACGAGAGAGAGACGAGAGCACCCAAAGAGCCTAAGAGAGAGAGAGACCTGTCTTAAAAACACACCTTCCTGCTTCCCCTCATGTTTATGTGAACAGCAGAGAGAGAGAGAGCACTATATCCATTACACATATGTACCACATATTTTGATGATTGCTGTATAGTCCTGCTGTGATTGGCTGAAAATCTCGGCTCGTTGTGGAAGTGGTTTGAAGTGTGGGTCCTATTTTCAGCCCGTGTCACGTCCTCCCATTGTGTTCGGTACAATCGTGGCCATGTCTTACGCATGAGTCACATCTTCGAATCGAGGGGGAAAAAAATTAAAGGAAAAGAATCCAGTGATAAACATGAAACAATGGGTACAACGCGCACACACCCACACATATGCACGCACAAGCACACACACACACACACACACACACACACACACACACACACACACACACACACACACACACACGCCACTTTGTTAGCATCATTTCCAACCAGTGTTCATTTAGACCTGTTTTGTTTGAAAGAAGCTGCAGTTTATGGCTTTAGGTTTGATGTCATAATTTCAGGTCGATGTAACTTTGGGAGATTAAAGCTGGGGTATCTGACTTCTGTTTCATAAATAATCCATGTCTGTCCCAACAGTCTTGCAAAAGTATAATGTGAGCAAATCAGGCCACAACATTCTGTTTGTTTGGTGAGTCACTATTTGACTCTTTGGACTGACAGATGATTGGTTGAGTGTCACTTTTCTGTCTCGCACATAATTAGATCAGCTTTTTCAAAGGCTAAAATACATGCATTTGAAAACTAGCTATAGAAGAAACTATTTTGGGAGTTTTTGTGGTTTGTGAAGTTAAGTATCTCAGCTTGAAGTCTTAAATCTCTGTGAGGACAACTCCGCACTAACTCTCAAGTTGCAGACTGTTTGAGCTGGACACAACACAATGTGAGGTGTCTTTGACGTGTTATGGACAAAGCTGAAGGTCAATAACACGGTGAGTTATGAGGAGGCTAACATTAACCCTCATCAGGATGTTAACCTTGACTGTTAGCGTCCAGATATCTTTGATAAAAGGCCTGCGTCCTGAACCTGGATGGAGTCAAAGTAAAAAGTCCATAAACTCTGTTCTGACAACAGTCCAAGTCTCGACCAAAGTAAAAAAGTGGCAGAGACCAAAAAGAGAGGGACAAAGGAGACCAGAGAAGGACCAAAGAGAGGAACCAGAGAGAGAGACCAGAGAGGGACCAGAGACCAGAGAGAGACAGAGAGAGAGAGAGAGAGACAGAGAGAGACCAAACATATACACGTAGTGGCTAATTGTCGGTAATTACCGTAAAGCGGAATCTCTGGAATCGGCACAAAAATATGTACTTTTAGTGAAATCTGTGGACACGGTCTCTTCAAATCCAGTTTTTTTCAGCAAAAGAAAAATTACGAGAAAAGAAATCTAACCATATTAGAGGCAAGGCTAATAAAATGGCCAGTCTTTGCATATTTCAACTATAAGACATTGCATCACATTCTCCCAAATGCTGCTTTGTGCTTTCCCTTTTCAGCTCATCATTATTAGTGTATTAAAAATGCAAAAAAATAGACATATTATAAAAAAGCAGTTGTACAGTCCGCTACAAAAAACATAACTATGTTAAAATGACTTGATTTCTGTGTGATATTGGATAATTCCCAGAGGATAATCCACTTCTTCCAGACAACACTGACTTATTTAAATATGATGTCATGTTATTGAGGCTCAGTATCACAGCTTGTACAATTTATTTTCCAGGCGCACTCCAGCAAATTAATCCAAAAGCGATGAGCTTAAAAAGGGCCTCATTTCATTTGTATGGTCTTAAAATGGTCAAAAACAAGATTAGTTTGTTCTAAATTATTTGGAAAAGTCTTTTCACAATCAAAAGAGGCCAGTGCAAGTCAGAGTGTGGAAGTAAAGGAGACAGCTCAGGTTAGCCATGTTAGTCAAGAAATAGTTCAGGTTAGCCACTTTAGCCAGGATAGCTCAGGTTATCCTTGTTACCTTTAGATAGCTCAGGTTACCCGCGTTAGCATGTGATAGCTCAGGTTACCCGCGTTAGCATGTGATAGCTCAGGCTTACCACCTTAGCATAAAATGGCTAACTCAAGCTAACTGGTGGCTTGTATTCAATAATTCACGCAAAATACGTACGTGTGGATGGAATTAAAAACAACTCCAGGTCAGTTTTTGATGAGGCACAATATTCTAATCATCAATGAAACCTCAATACATTTGCATAACATGTCACCTTTAAAGCTGGGGTACCTAAGTTCCTTTGTTTCATAAATATTACAATGTTTGTTCCAACAGAAACAGTTTTGTGAGATAAATATGTGAACAGATCAGACCACAACATGCTGTCTCCTTCTTATTAGAAAACATGTTATATTTGGAATAAGAAAGCACCCTGTGAGTCACTGTTTAAGTCTTTGGGCTGAGAGCTGATTGGCTGAGTGAAGGTGGTCCACTCTGTCTCACTTTTCTGTCTGAAGATGTAACAAAAATACAATAAAAACTAGAGAAAGAAGCAAGCTGTTATAGAGCCAGGAACTATAGAGACATGGATTTTATTACATAGAGCTATTGTGGTTTGAAAGTTACATACCCCAGCTTTAAACTAAGAAGTTCAAGTCATTTTAACAGCTGATTTCTGCGGCTCTCACTCCGTGCTCAGAATCCTCTCGATCTCCTCCAGTCTCTTGAGCGCCGCGGCTCGTTTCTCCTCGATGTCGTTGATGTTTTTCTTGGCTTTAGTCCGTTTGTCAGCTTGGCTCGCGTCCAAACTCTCCTGCGGCTTCCTCCCATTCATCTGTTTCCCGCTCGCCTCCTCGCTGCTCCCATCCTGCCCCGCTTGTGCCTTCCTCGCCTCCTCTTCTGCAGCAGCAGCGCCCTCTGCTGGCAACGAAGGCAGTGGCTTCGACAACGGTTGCCCCGCGGCGTTCATTGCGGCCATTTTACCCCGAACGATGTTCAAATGACGTTTCACGTACTCCTCGTTGGGCGCCATCGCTAGCGTCTCCATCAGGCAGCTCTCTGCTTTCTGCAAATTGCGCTCTTCGAAATAGACCACGCACAGGTTGTGTTTCCCCTGCACGTTCGTCGGGTCCAACGCCACAATTCTCTCGAAGCAAACCTTAGCCCCGCGCGTGTCCTTCTTGTGGTTCATCAGAATGTCGCCCTTCAGGATGAGGCCCTTGACGTGGTCCGGGTGGTGACGCAGGAGCTCGTCCAGTACGGGCAGCGTGTCGGTCTCGCGTTTGGCCTGGGAGTAGAGGAGCGCCAGGTTGAAGAGCGCGCTGCGGAAGCCTGGTTGGAGCCGGATTGCCTTCTTCATCCAGCGCTCGGCAGCCTCGTCCTCGTTGGCGTCCATGGCGAGCATCCCCAGGTTGAAGTAGCCGTTAGCGTCCTGCGGCTCTTCCTCCACGTAAAGCAGGAAGCGGCGGTTTGCTTCGGGCCAGAACTTTGGGTCGCCTGCAAGAGAGAGAAGACAGGACTGTAAAACTGGTAAGAGACGTTCTTTTGATGGTCTAAGGATGGGGATGCTCACTTTTATTTTTATTATTACTATTAATAAAAGACAAATCAGTTTTGCGCTTTATTTAGTCACTCAAAGATGCTTCACAGGTCATTATTCTTTCTCTCCAAACACAATGGTGATAAACTACTGTACAACTGAAGCCACAGCTGCCCTGGGTCACACTGACAAACGCGAGGAAAACAGCCCCTCCGACCACCACCAACCATTCACACACACACCAGAAAAAACTTCCCATATTCTATCCATTAAATCCACCTTCCCCCCCCACTAAATTCCCCAAACCTCTTATTCCTCCTCATACTCCATTATCATCCCCTTTTTTCTATCCCACCTAATTCCCCCTATACAACCATTACTCTACTCTTAAATCTCTTTCAATTTCAAACCCATCCCTACTTCCCCAAAATCATGAACCAAAACTCACCCCCCCTTATTCAAAAATATTAATTAAACATATAACTACCCCCTCACCTCTAAAACCTCTCTAACTTATATCACCTCCCTCCTATCCCCCTATTTCACCTCTATAACCATTTCCATTCCAAAACCAAATACAATCATTCTTTCCAATCCATATCCCCAAACTAAAAACCACCCCCCCCCCCCCAACCCCACCCCTAAATCCCCATACCATCCTCAACAAAACCATTACATCCTAATCCCTTTACACCAAACTTTCCATCCTACACTACCCATAATCCCAACTATCTCACCACCCCAAACCCCCCAACACAATTCTCCCAACCCCCCAACCCCCCCCCCACATACCCATAACCCTCATACACCCCATAATACTTTTCAATCTCTATAAAACATCACCAAATTCTACATTTTCCTCTCCCAACTTAACTAAACAACTCACTAAGATCCCTACCAATAAAAAAATTAACCCCCTCCCCTCCCCACATTAATCTGAATTTCCCCATCATTCTCCATACACATCCCCTACCCCCCCTACAATCTCCCATAACATACATACATTCCAACTACCAATCAACCATTAAAACAAAAACCTCCAAATAACACCTTTCTTATCCTTCTCCCTCCCCCCCCCCCATACACCCCTCCACCCTAATTCACATACCCAATTAATCCCTTTAATACACACCCCTCCCCCTCGTCTATACTCACATATAACAACACCTCCTTAGATAATAATCTCTCTCAACCTCTCATCCATATTAATTACAATAACCTTATTCCCTTACCTTTTTCCAACACCCCATAACAA